TGCTGGGAGCCCTCAGTCACTGCTGGGAGCCCACAGGACAATGCTGGGAGCCCTCAGTCACTGCTGGGAGCCCATGGATCACTGCTGGGAGCCCTCAGTCACTGCTGGGAGCCCACAAGACAATGCTGGGAGCCCTCAGTCACTGCTGGGAGCCCTCATTCACTGCTGGGCAGGGGTCTCTGTGTCTTTGCCAGGGAACTGCTCTTAACACAGAAATCAGCAGATCTTCATCACATAGAACATGTTTATAATATAGCTATTTGTTCACTAGGTCTGCATGAACATCCCCCAGATCCAAGATTCCATTTTCCCATTGCCTTGTCTCTGTGCCTCACAGAAAGTGAGTTTACATAATGCCCATCTTAACAAACAGTATTTTGAGTTAATAGATATAAAGAAAAGGCAAATATTTCAAGTTTAATTTCTAAACTCCCAAACCAGTAGGTAATTACCTAGCTGATACACTTTAGCAGTCCACAAGCTGCACTTACACCATGTGGGTGAATACCTGAATCTAGGAATGTTTCAGTATCCTGTAGTTCAGCTAAGTTCATTCTCAGGTTCATTTCAGGGCTTAGCACCTGATGACATATTCTTTTTTAATTAATTCCTTAAGCCATCACTGTCAAGAGGAAGAAACTACGTCAGCTGAAAATGAAATTAAATCACTGTCACACAGAAGTGGCTTTGAAGAGGAGAGGAACAACTTAACACTGCTTGGTTTGGTGTGCATTTTAGATGTCACAATGGACAAGTAACTCTGCCTTCCAGAGCACCCAGCTTTTCCTTCACAGAATCACAGAATAAACTCGGTTGGAAAAGGCAATTTCTTCCCTTCACACCTGGATTTCTTGCTGTTGGCTATTTTAGGTTCCACCTGGAGCACAACTGCAAAGCTAAAGATCATATGGCAATGGTCAAGGCTTGCAGTCATGAATAGGAGGTCATAGCTACTGCAGAGAATGAGTAGCTGTGGTGGGACAGGGAATCTCCCTGTGTGGTAGGAGGACACTGTTGAATGATCTCCATTAGAACAACTGGACTATCCTCATCCACTAAATAACAAAATGTCTGAAACAAACACAAATGCACATAAATTCCTTTAATCACCACATTTTTCTGAAATAGCATCACTACACTTTAATTTCAACTTTGATTTATTTTTCTTGATTTTGGTTTGGTTGTTTTTTTCTTTTTAAGGTGAATTATATCTGCATTATTTCTTAAATAAGCTACTGCTATTTTAAATCAAGCTACATTTCCTTCAGTGTTTTTAATTTTATAAATGGTGTGATCCAGACCTTTCTATAAAGCAAAGTAAGTCTTAAATAATTTAAGCATCTCTTTTCTGAAATGCATCCATTTCCTAGAAGAATTTTTGTAAATTTCATGCCTTCTTGGGAAGGAAATAAAACAGAGGAAAGTATTTTATTATTCTATTCACAGTTTTATAAAAGCAGGAGAAAATGTGCAACAATAATTGTCTCCATTCCACTGCAGGCACATACTAAGAAAAATATGCAATTATGTGATTTGTCCTCTTCACATCCTTTCCAGCTCAAATGAAGCTAAAAATAAAACAAAAAAGGGGGACACATTTCTTATTCCAAATTGATGTGAAAGATGCTGTATTTGTAGTCAGTCTGAACACTGCTTGGCTTCAACTACCATTTCTCACAAAAAGTTGATGGCTTTAGTATAGACACCTGCTCTGACATTGAATTTGTCCTTTCCCTGACTGGAGGACAGTTTACTCCAACTCTTCAGCAGTTGTGCCCCAAAGGCAGTGGACAAAATGGCAACAGCAAAAGCCAGGACTGAAAAAAGCTGGTACTGCCTGTAGGGAGTGGACTGAATGTGATGTTGCTGCTCTTACTGAAGGAAATGAGCTGTGATGCAAAGAGGATGTAACACAGTGTCAGTGACGCTGTAGTCTGCATGGCACGTGTTCTTCTGATAAAGCCCCACCATTCCTGTAAATTAAATTGGGAGCACACTTACACTATCATCCCTACAGACCTTCCCGGGTGTGTTAGTCAGAGAAACTTGGTGATGTACACCTTTACTTCACCTGATCCTATCAAGTTCCTTATCAGACAGAGGAGAATGAGTTGAAGGGAGTATGATCATGCTGAAATGCAAATTAGTTTTCCAACAAATAGTGCTACTTAGTATTTCTTTGCTCTGTCATAGGTGAAAGAGACAACAAGATACCGATGTGACAAACAGAACTAGGCCCAAATGGAAATAACTGGTCAGGCATTTCCATGAAGGCTGTCATGATGTGACTGAAGCGGGATCACGTTACTGTGTTGTACATCTCCAGCACTCCTGGGAATGGATGGAAGGTGACCAGCCCCTCCCACCCTCCAGCTCTGCACAGAGGATGCAGTCATATCTAGTCACTGACTTACCCAGATACAGAACTGCACTCCAGATTGTAAAATGCTTTTTTCTTGGGTAGGAGCAATGACTTTGTGCCTTGGTGTTCTCCTACTGAAAACACCTAAAAAGGTGTGAGGAGCAATGGCTGTGTCTGTGCTTGAGACTGAGCACACAAATTGTCCCCTGACACAGGACCTCACCCCAGAGAAGCTGTGTCTACCCTCAGCAGAGGGGGGCTGTGGCTGCACTTACAACATGTAAGACTGTACAAGTGCCATGTGAACACTTCCTAATGATCACATTAAATCAGGACAGAAATAAGTCAGGTTCCTGGGAAATTACAGAATCACAGAATCCTCAAGGTTGGAAGAGACCTTCAGGATCATACAGTGTAATCATTAACCCTAAATCACCTTTACACCATATCCCTAAATGACATATCCAGATGCCTTCGTGGACTTCCAGAAATGGTGACTCTGCCATCTTCCTGGGCAACTTTCTCCAATGCTTAACTACTCTCTCAGTGTCCAATCTGAACCTCACCTGGCTCAAGTTAAGGCCAGTTCTTCTCAAACTTGCAAGTGGGTCATGGCATAAAAGACTGACCTTCACCTCACTGTAACTTCCCTTCAGATAAATAACCTCTGCTTCTCCAGACTAAACAACCCCAGTTGCCTCAGCCTCTCCAGGACAGGTCCAAAATTTCAACAAGTGTCAGTGGTTTTCCAGGGCACAACCACTGAATGTCCTGGAGCAGGGAATCTAAATAGGAATTTGCTCCCCTCTGCTTTTAAGCAGCTTCCATGGAAAGGCTCCCTGGGCCTTTGCTAATCAGAACAGTTAAACCAGGTATCATTCAGACCAGCTACAGGGTAAATCCAAGAAAAAGCAGGCCACTTTGGCATCATGCAGGGTCTGCATACCACAAAACATGACTACAATCCAGAGCATTTACCCATGCTCACATTGCACACCTCAGCTTTTTACACCAATAGATGTTTTTTGTCTTGTGCGATGCATATGAAGCTCTGAAATCCACATTTGGTTTAAAGCCCTCTTCAGTAACACTAAAATATAAATCAGTTTATAACTTTTTGCTCCAGGTGATCTAAAGCCTAATTATTCTGAGGTATTTGCTAACAGAAATTCAATAGGGTCTCACTGATGCCAGTGGAGTTATGCTGCCCCTCAATGAACATAAGCAGAAAGATGAGCAGGCTCGTGGTATTTCATAGCAGAGAGAGCTTGTATACTATCATGCTGTGTTATTTAGTATACTCCATCTGACCTCTAATGTCTGTTAACACATATGACTACTTATTTCCTGATGATTTTGGAAATCAAAGCTCAATTAAATCTAGGCTTTTGACTGATTTTTTTAGGTATTCTATCACAAAAGATAGAACAGCAAACAACACATTTCTAACATATAAACTAGCATATTCAAATCCCACCAGGTGAGGGTGCTCATCACTGGTTGCATTCCAAATCCTTACTGTGCCCAAAAAGCCTTCGTACAACAGGAAACAAATTCTGGTAGTGGTTGAAATGTCTTCCTTTTCTAAGCAGATACACCTTTTAGCATGCCCTTCATGACTTCATTTTATATCACCCTTCTATTTGGAATCTACAAGATCTATCAAAACCCCTAATATACTGCTAAACATAAACCAAAAGAAAATATATTCCTGCTAGAAATGACATAAATAATCAAAATTGAAAGATGACAAAATCAGTGCACTTACTATGTGTCGTGCTGCGAACACTCCATCAACTACTGCACAACAGAAGGCTGCCACTACACCAAAGCTGATAAACACAATGGAGGCCACCAGCTGAGAAGAGAAAAACATATTGAGTAATCTTTTCAGTATAATTCCTTAAATAAAACAATTACACTAGTTTTTCTAGTGTTCTGAAATGATGGTTCCTGCTGCTGTAACTCACTTTAGATCATGTGTCAGGATGACAGTCATACACTAATAAAAAGGCAGAAATTCTTGATGCTGAGTTGACAGCCCATCAAGCCTACTAGAAAAGTTTTAATCTTTCAAGAGAAAATTAGGCCAGCTGCAAGAGTTAAATTCAATGGTGATTTCTTCCAAATCAACTTACTTAATAAAACAGCAGTGCTTCCACAGGGACATAGTAAAAAGTCATCTTCCTGCTGGCTTACATAAATCTTTGGAGCTTTACTACACGGTAGTATTTCACATCAATAGATAAAGGCATCTGTAGTAAGTTAATAACTAGCCTGTGAATGATCAGAAATCCTTTATTATCCCAAATAGGTTATGCCACAACAAAATCAGAGATTCAGAGGACTGGTACCTGTGGAAGGGCTGGGGTGTGCTGCCTTGGCCCCCACCCTTGTTGGAGTTTCCAGCCTGGCCCTCAGTCTCAGAGTGGACAGAGCAGAGGACAGCAGAGCTCAGTGAGTGTCCCAGCTGCAGCACAGACAGCACAATGTCTTCATCAACCTACTAGCCATAGCTTCTGACCTCCTTCTACCTCCCAAACTGCTTCGTTCATTAAGCACTGTTCATTCTCTCTCCACAGGACTGCAGATGGTGCACAGCTGGAGCTCTGGCACAAGCTGTGGTAGTATGGAGGGCTTGGGGGAAAAGGCTGTGCAGGCTGGGCATGCTGAGCCCCTGCTCTCTGTGCTGCAGCTCTCACAGCAACTGCAGGGCTAGAACAACCCCAGACACCATGAGCTCCTGCCCAATTCACTCTGGAGAGAGCAGAGCACTTGGAAAGAATGTGGAATGCATCTCCACCAGGGACCAGTCAGTGTGCTGCTGGCACACACTTCTGGCTTCTTCTGAGGCCACATCTGAAGGGTGCAGTGCTGTGAGCCAGGTGAGACAAAGCCCTGAAAGACCAACTGTGCACTTGGCAAGGCACTCCCCTGGGTTTGCTAGCCCCTGTGCCATCAGATGAAGGAGAGAACCTGACAGTTCTTCCTCTCCCAGATTAGAGGATTTTGTGATGTTGGGGACTCTGCACCCTGAATTTGAAGGAGTGAGTTCCTGCAGGTGAACCTAATATGCATTATCTGGCTGTGCTTTTTAATATAATGTAATGTATACTACTCATGTCTCTGGCATTTTCTCAGGCAAAGTCCCAAGAGGAACCCTTTGAAACATCCTATATGTTGATTTTCATTTAGAACAGTATTAAGTCATAGTTAATAACAACAGCAGATTTTAAAAAATTCTTGAAAACTGACAGAACAGCATTCATTTTTGATAGGGCACATGGAAAAGGGATTCAGTTAAGAATGTGGAACCTTTTTGTTAGTTACTAGTTATTAAATGCTCCTTCACAGCATGTATTCCTGAAATGCCCAGATACAGATTACAAAAATAGTATCCATAGAGTTCATATATCCTTTTGCCTATACAAAATCTGCATTACCTAGACGCCATTTTCAAAAATTTGTAAGGCATCACTAACTGACTTGGAAAATGGACTCTTTAGCTTATGTTAGGTTAAGAATAGTACAATGTGAATCCTCCCAGGGGATGAGGCATTGTTGATTTTCTCAAAAATATTTATATTGGGCAGGTAAGAAACTACAATCATACAAGCCCACAGCTTGGATGCACAGATCAAAGCAATATCACCCACATGGAGGTAAGAGCTCTTGGAGAGTTCACAAAAAGTACACTTAAAAGCAGAAGAATCACAATGCTTTCTGACACACTCCTTAAATCTCCCCTCAGCTCATGTCTCATACAATCAGAGATGAGCCAGCACTGACATAGGGATTGCTGTGGAATTGGAATCCTCAGCATGGGGAGAAAAGGGGCACACACAAATGTGGCTGAGGTAGATGGTACTGGCTGATCTTGGGAGCCTGCTGCATTCCCCCTGCAGCCAGCTCCCTCTTGCTGAAACCCTAGGAAAACACTGCTGGCTGCATCACACTTCAACCTCTGCTTCTCCAGAGTGGAAGGTCATGTCCCATGAATCTGGTTGTCTAAAGATCTTGGCATGCAATTCATCAGACTGAGAAGGCTGTGGACTCCTATCACTGCAGGGTAGAGGGCTGTGCTGCCCTGTGGCAGCTGCATTTGCTGTAGATCCTGGTCTCTTTATTTGAAAAAGCAGCAGTGTTTAAAAGTTCTGATTAAGTCATTATTGTCTTATCTTGTTTTTCTCTATCTTGTTTTTCAAGTCATAGCAGTCTATCAAATAATTAGTGGGCTAAGTCAGGTGTTTCCAAATTGCCTGAGCTCAAGATGAATTTACTGGAAGCTGACCTCAAGGTGGCTTTTCATTTCACACATGAACAATTTATTGATGATCTACAATCCCCAAACCAACATTTTCCACTCATTGAGATAGCTTAAATCACCTAATGAGTATGCTGGCCTTTCAGTTTCACCATATAGCCTTAGGAGACCACATAAAAAGGTGCAGTAAATCACAGTATAGAAAGGAGCTATAGAAAAAAGCTGAGGAGCTTTGCACTTCTCAGTCATGTTGGAGATCATCTATGCTTCCAAGGAATTGTGTGCAAGTCAAGGGTTTACAGCCAGAGCCTGCTGTTCCTATCCATAACTACTAGCAACTACTTCAGTGAGCAGTCCCTTCAGAATCCATTTCATTTCTTGACTGAAGTAATATTTATTGTGATGCCAAAGTGGCAGAACATGACACTGAGAACTTTTTATGACTGAAACTGCCTTATATACATTTGAATGACAAAAGAAGTGACAGTACAAGGGCACCACTAAAAAATTCCTTAAAATAAAAGTATAGATTTACATTTTCTCTCAAATCTCTCACTGCTTATTAAGAATGTGAAAAACATAAAAAACCAATTACAAAAGGAATTATTTCTGAAAATTGCCAGGACAACCAAATGAAGAGCTGTTGTAAATTCAAAAGCTAATTTTCCGGAGTAGTAGGTGATTGGTGGAGCAGTGAGTTCACAAGCCTAGGACTGTCTAGAAAGAGAAGAAATGCAGCTCATTTAAAGATAGAGAATGTTTGCTGACAGGTATAAGAAATAACACTTTAAAGAAAATAAATACTGATCCATCACATCATCTTATCTCCATTTTCAACAGCATTATGTTTTGTCAGGACAGCTATTCATTATTTATAGCAATATATTTGAACAGTTATTCAAGAAACAGTTTTGCTTTTGCTATTCCATTGATGTGCAGCCAGGCTTCTCTACAGCTTTTGCCATCAGAACAAGTTTACTCCTGGCTCTTGTATAGAATACAATAATCTGATTATTTACAAGGGAGACATAAAACCAGCTATTAAACACTGAAAACTGTAATGTGTGGGCCTAACAATCAAACTCAAAAGGCAGTTGTTTAACAGAGGGGTTTTAGCAAAAGGGAGAACAAAACGGCACACGGAATGAGGGAGTTTTGTACACGGTGTTAACTAAAGAGCTGTAATCTATCTTCAGCTGTGTCACAGAACTATGAAAACGCTCTAAAAAGTAAAACTAGTGAAAGGCTGGACTGCTAAATTCTTGCATACTGGCTTCTTTCAGAAAAGACTTGCAATTTTTTTCAGAATTTACCTGTCTTGGAGAACCTCCTGTCCTTCAGCAGGCATACAACACTACTGCCTGCACTATCACCCTCCTGCACAAATGAGAGTAGTGAAGGCAACAGGGGACACACAGTGGCCAGAGATGCTGGTCACAGACTCTTGTCCAGCTGCCAGAAATGCACCTGGCACAGGGAGTTGGCAGCTATGTATCCCACAAGGATTCCCCTAAGAGTTGGCCAGAGAGCAGAGCCAACAGGATGTTTGAGTTTGATGAGGCCAGCCCAGCTGCAGGCACACTCTCATGTACACACTGCACTCAAACATGCACCTCAGGTCCCGAGGCACACTCTGTGCTGAATGACACACTGATGGTGCCACATCCCTGGTGTGACACACACAGACCTGCAGCCAACATTTGCCAGCAGACCCACCCAAACCCACGTTGCTCCTCAGCAGAAGCACATGCTGGCTACAGGTTGGCACCTCTCTGGCTGTTTCCAACAGCCCTGTGGATACTTCTGGGAGCTAGCTACACTCTCAATTCTGGCACATCCCTGGTTTCCTCATCATTCTAATTTAGCCTCAACCTATCCTCAACCAAAGAGCACAACTTCTCAGGCAATGGCAGTCATTTCTAGCACCAGATGCTGCATGAGATGTTTCCTTCTCTTGATCTAGACCAAGCAGATCTGAGACTGAAAAATGCATGGATTTTTGTTCTCAAAATCACCTCAGTACTGGATGCAGGTTGCATTACATCTAACAGACTCACTTCCCTCATGCTAAATGGCTACTTCTGCATTGCACAGCCTCCAATGTCTCCAAGCACTGAGCTGTTCATCAAGCCTCCCTGGGATTCTTTTCCAGGCAGAGAAGGAATCAGAATTATCCTGACTGATGTAAATTGACAACCACTGCCACTCAATATTTTTTGCTCTACAAAGTCAAGTTTTTGCAAAAGGGGGTGTAAATGTTATGCCACAGATTTGTAAAGACCTTTTTTATTCCCACACAGGTTCAAGTATTTGGAAAAGAAATGCATGGGGCAGTTTGTTGTAGGCTGCCCCTAACATTATATTTCTCAAATTACAGTTTAATTCTGTGGTCGTTTTTACTGGTTGGATTTCCTCATGACCCTAAGATCAGAATTGTAGTTTTAAATAAATCTGCTGCACTTTTTCAATGCGGATGATGATGATGATGATGTAAGAGTAGAAGTTTACAAAAACTCATATCACAAATCCAAAACAGAGAATGATTTTTCACCCTGGTGCAACCAGGGAGCTGGAACAACCAATCTCAGCCAGGA